ATTATCTTCTGAGCATCCTTTGTATCTTCTGGACTGAATAATCCAATCAAGCGTGGCATACAAGGCCGTTCATGTTCTTGACTCTCTATGGAACCTATTGTCGATAATTGGTATCTCGCTAGGCGTGGATCGCTGTAAACTCGCAGTTCTTGGGAAAGAGACAGCTTGTGCAATGGCTTGTCTATCTCAAAGAACTTGGAAATAGCTTCGGCACGACAATCAGACGGGATAGTGTTCCAGTAGAGGATGCGGTATTACCATTACGGGACGTTTGTGGACTATCGCCTAGAATGCACACTTTGGAACATCGTTGCCCATATCCCATGACCTCTCCGAGTTTGACAGTTAGGCCTTCCAGATTCTCTCCAAGCTGTTGCACATGAGGACTCTGACCTTGTTCAGGAACTTCTGCTAAGAAGCCGGAAATATCCTTGCGTATCAGATTAAGGCATGTCCCGGTGGGGATATCTGAAAGTTTCAAAGCTTTGCGAACCACCTTCCTAGACATAAGGAGAACAATGCGGCGAAGGGGAAGTTGGACTGCACCGCCACGATGGCATCCCTCCAAACCTTTGCAAAGGTGCAATAATTGTATTATAAGCCTGATTTATCTACTGACTGGATTGTTTAGGGGACCTTTGCGTCAGCAGTTGGCTTGTCAACCATCAGTTTGTGACTCCTCCGAAGGGCTGGGGTGTCTGTACTGACTGTACGTTGTAATATAGGCCTTGGGTTGCTGTATTATGGACAGAACTACCTCATTTACCCGTCTGCTTTCCCGCCTGGATCAAGGATAGGTACATAGAACTCTTTATTCGATACTCTTGCTTCTGGACTTAAATTTACTATACTGACGTGTAACTAGACGTCCCTACCCCTGCGGACTACGGATTACCCTATGAAGACTTAACCCTTGATACATCTGATGGTATCAAGATTAAATGTTACTTGATGGTACAGCGCCGGGCGCTTCCCGGTGAGACTGCAAAGGAAGGAGCAGATGTAGATACGGCAGAAGAAGATCGTAAAGTAAGTCAGGGAACTTGGTTTTTGATGAAATTTCTGATTCAGTTTGATAGTATGCTGGCTTCCGCCCCACCGTCCTCATGTTCCACGGAAATGGAGGTAATATTGGGCACAGAGTGCCCTTGGCGCGTATATTTTATTCAAAGATGCGATGTAATGTCATACTGGTCTCATACAGAGGGTATTATCATGTTCATTTACCGCCTTGATAAGATACTCATTGGACTTTAGATATGGTCAAAGCGAGGGCTCTCCTTCTGAACAAGGTTTTATGATTGACTCACAGGTGATTTGATATCTTTTGTACGCCGACAATATCTCACGATTTACTCCAGGCGGCTTTGGATTACGTCCGTGACGACCCCACCTTAAC